TAACGATGTGTCTATGCGTTTCATCCCTCCCACGGGACTTTTCCAAGACAAAATAACGATCAGGGATCCAGGTTTAAATACCCCATAGAAAAATGGGATAGAGGGCATATAGAAAGCCTTGACTGGGTATGTGATGGAACACATAGTAAAACATGGACATGGTATAATAAGTATCACAAACTTAAATATGTCAAATTAAAAAAATTTATATAACAAAATACACACTTTCAAACATCACTGAATTATTGTTAGGCAACAGAAGGTAATTGGACCCAATAAAGAGGACAAAGAGATTTAGCAGAAAAAAGAAAATAATCATAAAAAGTAATAGACAAAATATTTTTGCTCTTAAAAGTTAAAGTGACAGGCACCATTTCTTGGAATGGAAGGTATGTACCTTCGTTAGATTTCAAATTAATATTTAAAATAAACCAGTTAAACTTCTTACAGCTCATTAGATTGAAAACAGGTTTACGTCACCCAAAATCTTCAATAAAAATATATATATATCTCCAAATATCAAGCGTACCAGAATATGCAGTTCCATAAAAAAATGAATAAATGAAAATACGGGACACCAGCTCCATTAGGAAAATTAATATAAATGTATCCATATATACTCTGGCGTAACTTAAACAGATATATATTTTTTATATTATTATTTTATACTATTCCTTAAAAGTCGGGATAAACTCCTCACTAATAGGAGATGATTGATTCGGGTTATGATGTATATTGCCAAAGCACCTAAAGTTATCTGATATTAACAAAACATATAACAACAAAATAATGAGCAGATAGTAATTGATTGGCATACAGGAACACAAATTAAGTAATAAATCACTGAGGGTAATATATATATCTATATCTGTGCAAGAAGAGAATTTAAACAAGACAGGATGATCAGCAGACAATGGATGGTATACATAAAATACTGTATCCTGGATTATTGACAACCGAGGTTCTATAGACCTAGTATAATAAACATAAATGCAGAAACTAAGCTATAACTGGACTGTTAAAATAGTTCTAGCTTCTCATTTAGGCCATTAGGTGCCATAGAATTAAGTTTAAAAATCCACATAGACTCAACCTTAATCAATTCCCTTTTTCTTTTTGCACCATCCTGTTGTGGAGGAATATGAGCTATCTCCATTACTTTAATACCAGAAGGATTCTTCTCATGAAAGATTTCGAAATGTCGGGCCACCGAGGACCTTGACTTATTGCTAGTCTGTGGCGGAACCAACCTCGCCACTAGGCACTGGGAAGCCTGGTTGCTCGCCTGCTCCCTTTAGACTATGGTTCTGCAGTACAGCCCTGTTATTTCCCCTACTGAAAGGTTTATTCGTGCCTTTCTGCCGGGGTGTTCGGTAGATTCAATCTACCGAACACACTACCGAACGATGGACCACCTGGGAGCTGCAGTGTGCCGTCAATTGACCGCCCAGAAGCTGTGGTTAACCGCAGCTTAATTGATGAACACTGGGTGGCCGGTTGCCGAACACGTGGCAGCAGCCATTTTACTTTCCGAACGGCCAGCGGTGTTCAGCGCCCAAAATATGGAACTGAAAACGGACACTTATTGGCACGGCTGAGCCGCCAGCCTCCTTACCTTCTCATTCGGTAGTGGAACCGAATGACTGTTCATTCGGTAACTTAACCGGGTGAACAGCATCACCCCAGATAGCTAAGCCATGGAGCCTGTTCGTGTAACAAAAGACTATGTGAAAGACTTTGGCTCCATGGCGATTGAAATGTAGGTATGTGATCTGAGCGCCATTTGGTAGTAATGTGCGCTCAGATCTAAGCTATCTGGGGATATGTAGAAACAGATAAGTCTGTTTTATGTAGTAAATGTAACTGTGTAATTTTATGTCTTTTACTGTCTTTTTAATACCATGTGGTTAATGGAGTTTTTGCCTCTGTCCTTGGAGATAATTGGATTACTTCCCAATTAT